AGCATCGTAATAATAATACAAATAAATAAATAACAATAATGTGTACATTTTAGTCAGATGTTCTGACTAGCTCTAACTCAGAACTTTTTATGTACCAAAAAGTGTCTTCTATTTTGTTTATTTTTATGTGTGAATAATAATTGGGTAACCTAATAATACACAAATAAAAGTGGTGATGAAAAGATTCTATTGATTGATACAGACAATCGTTGGCTTTCACTGGACACCAGACGTTTCGGGTGTCTGGCGCCAAAATATTTGTATTGTTATTACTATTATTACTATTATTACTGATTTACTTTTACGGTTAAATTGCTTTTGTAAAAATTAAACTACATATTTTTATACAATTGTTAAAAAAACCATGCATTAACACAATATTAGCTGTGTAATTGGTAGTCTCACAATATTATAAATAGTTTATATGAAAGTAAATTTCTCACAGAGAGTGGAAAATAAAATAAAATGTCTATACCTTTGAGAAATTTAAATATAATTTTAGGGTCGACCCTTCGGACTGATATTTAAAATCAAAAGTTTATGTTGTCTTAACCTAACCTTGGTAGGGTGGCAGCATGATTAAGTACGTGATAAATTGTGCCTTATATATTTATAACATATCAAAATATTACTCACTTAATACTTATTAATATTAATTACTATGTAGTAAGGTGTACACCGCTGGGTAAATGTAGCAGATTTACACTTTCTTCGACCACTTTTCATAAGTCTTTCCAGCGGGTTGTGCTCTTGAATAGCAATAATCTTTAATGATTATATACCTTATCGAATTTTTTTCTTCATACACGGTCATTCGTTTGATAATCGAGATACAAAAAAAAACTATGAAAAACGTACGCCTATTCGGGCATAAACATCACACTTAAATATTATGTATGCCTATGTTATTATCTTATTTTTATTATCGTTGGTACATTTAAAGACCACTATCATGGTCGAATTGTGTGTACTTATCTATATATACAATATCATTAACCGTTACCGCTACGTGTTGTCATTATTTTCATACTCGCGATCAAATTATAAAATAAGCGATTCATCTGCCAAACACATATAAATATATAATATAGCTGCAAATAGTTTATATCATGGTTAGGTATCTGCTGCAATACACCTGCAGTATTGCAGTCTGCAATATACCTATAATAATATGTTAGACCTACATTATATATACATCTACATTGTTGGTACCTAGTCCTATTTTCTTTAATAATATCGTATATTTATTCGATACAATATTAGTATATAGGTACTTAAATATTGAAATATGATGTGGAGTAAATATCGAATAGTGTTATTACTTATTATATAATCATTCGTAAGTATTTGAATAATATATCTGTTGTGTCTTGTGTGGTAGACTGTTTGAACAGTTCGAACTGAACCATATTAGTTTAATTTTTCTAAGAAATTATAATAATTTCATTATACAACTGGTTAAGTAAATAAAGGTATACCTTGTAATTTATATAGTTATAAACCTGTATGTATCTCAATTATTTATATAAAGCTGTATTTTTCTTTTACGATAAAACTATATAATAATAATTGATCTGCCGAACACATATTATAGGCACCTGTAAAAAGTTTACCATGATTAGATATCTACTGCGGAACTGCGTATCTATTTGTAGGTAGTCCTATTTTCTCGAATAACGTCGTATATAAATTAATTTGATACAATATGTGACATTGTAACTATTGAAATATGATGTGAAATATAGAACAGTGTTATTAGATACAATAGATAGACTTGATTATGTCAAAAACAATATACAATTACAATATGGCATATTATTATATGTGAAAAGGTTTGTCAAACAAGACAACTCGAGACAAGAGTTCATTCAATTTCATGATTTAAAATTGTTCTTGTTTACAACGTTCAAAAGCAAAATATACAAATGTGAAATAAAAAACTATTATCAAAGCATTTGTAAGTATCTGAATGATAATAGCGTGTGGTAGACTGTTTAACTATATTTAGGTGCATTTTATTAAGAAATTCCATTTTACAGCCGGTTTATACCTTATACCTAAATTATTTATATAAAGTCACACTTTTTTGTTATTGACGAGGATGATTAATATTTCATTGTATGATTAACCTTACTTATTTAAACAATTGACTATCTATTAATGTTTACATAATATTCATTTTAATTTTTAAAACAAACGCTTTTAAACAGTTTATACCGATTGTAATATTATAGTAATTGTCTTTACAGATTTTCTAGGAGATAGTTACTATTAATATCGAAAAATATTTATCAAAATGGACGATTTTCTACAACAATATGTTTAACATGAACACATAATATAATATATTATATACATTTAGACTTTAGATTTGTTTATACATCAAAAAACTACATGATACTGATCACAAATGTTTTCGACACCTTCTCATATTCATACTGCCTATGTAATATGCATATTATTTGGAAATATTTTGCAAGCCATTTAACAGAAAATGATAGTATATTAATAAAAAATATATAATATGAATGTATTTTATTTTTGAACTACAGTATTATATATATATATATATAACTGTGTTTCAGTTTATAAATCAACAGTAGGTGATTTTGGGCCGTTAATTACAAATTGTAAATAAAAGATATGAGAATTGACATAAGTAATGATAATGATGGGCGTTGACAACTGTGAGATGGATGAAGTCGGGATTATGCAAGAATGTTTTTTAACTATTACCAATGTGAGATAATTTTCGATTTAACCCTTTCATTTTTATTTGATTTTATCTATCTCAGAGTGGGTTTAAACATAGTTATTAAAATGTGAAATATAGTTTTTACATTATACACGTAGGCTACCTACTTATTTTAAATTCAAATAAGTATTTCGTTTTAAGCACGTGTTTGTCTACTCATATACGACGTTAATATTTAATAATAATATGTAGGTAGAGTTTGTGTTTGAACTTCACTAAATAATATCTATACCTATCAGTAATAACTAATTAATTTAATGTTCTATTTAAATTTAAAAATAAAATGTTGATAGTAATAATAATATAATTATGTAGATGTATATACTCCGTGTAATCAACTTCTTAAAATTATTTTAATATTCCATAAAACTTAAAATTAACAATACAATTTTCTTTGATGTTGTATAAAACAAAATATACTTGTATGGTAAACTATAAACAATAATAAACTTAAAACAACATTTACAATTACTGAATACCTACACAATACAATTTATTTTATTATTTATTTTAAAAATCAAACTACATTTTTCTTTTACAATTTTTGTACTTCTATTTATGATTTTCATAACATTGTTTTTCATTGTTTCGTTTAAAATAACATTTTTGATAAAATACATTTGTGAAATTAAACATAGGTACAAATTCAATAAAGAGTTGTTTACTTTAATAACAGTTACACAACAAAGACTTTTTTCAAAAAATAAGAAAACAGCAGATGTGTTTGTATATACCTGCATCTATAGTGGAGGACGGAGATGTAAAAATGTTTTTATGCGAACTACATTATATCGTGCGTGTAGTTTTGATACTTTTATAAAGTAGACAAACTTGTTAGTATTTAGATACGTGGGTTTCACAAGTTATATTATAATATTATATTGTTGTTGAGGTCAAATTCATAGATCATATCTGAGATCATCGTTGCTCGCGTATATCTCTTGCATCTCGATTTACCGACGAATTAAATATAAACCACAAACTCTCAAATCATTCCTACCTGTAAACCTACGTGTATTCTTTATTGCATTATTACTTTTGAAATGCATTGCGGAGTATTAAAAATAACAATACAAATACATCATCTTAGGCTTTTTTTGTTCTATGTTTTCCACATTTAACTAAAGTACCTATCATCGACGAGCGAATGTAAAATAATATTTGTATAGTGTTTTCCTCTATAACAACACCTTCTGCAGCAGTTGATGTTATTATGGGCATTAGTGCCACTCCTCGCGTGTAGTATTATATTAATAATATAATTACATACCTACATTATGTAAACTATGTATAATTTACCATTTATATGGAGTTATAAATTCCCATGAACTAGAAATTCACAAAAATAATAATAGATAATAATAATAACGAAGAAAATAAAACATTGTGAGTGTAAAATACTATTTTAAAATAAATAAAATGTTTTTGAGTTTTGGTACAACATTTTTTTTCTAACAGATTTTTGAATCGCTTTGTGTATTACCATGATGGTAACGCAAATCAAAAATAATTAAAAGACATTAAATTAAATTCCTAACCAAATTTTACTAAATATTTTTCCACTGCACTATACCCAAAACATATCTATGATTCCTCAATTTTCTTTGCTGAGAAAGAAAATACCTACTTGCTTTTATAATATACACGAACGAGACTTTTATAGTGTTTTCCTCATATTACATTTTTAATATTAATAACATACATTGTGTAAAAGAGGAATAATTTTCCATTTATATCGAGTAAATGCACGAGGATAAGAAATGCACAAAATAATAATAATAATAATAATAATAACGAAGAAAAGAAAGGATTTAGTGTTATGACGGGCGTTCGTACGGCGATGATGAATGGCTTCTTAAATAATATAATGATCCTAAACGGTTTAATAGGCCTCGGAAACCTACCTGAAGGTATTGGTAGTAGTAATTACGATCGTCGTGGGCAGTCGACATAATATTGTATGCTACTCGGTATGCGTAACTGAAATTTGAATTTTTCTACTCCCACATTTAGGGCTTGGCACTGATACCTCGAGTTATCATATTTTGAACCCGTGGGTTACATCGGTATCAGATAATATATTATTTAATTTATTATATTATGTTACCGTATGTGCAGTTGAGTAGTTATCATATATATGTACTAGCCATACTTTGCTATGTCTATTATACAGTTCTGTATACATTGTTTCTACTTTCAAATATTATAATAATTTATTAAAATAAAATGTTATTGCGTGTTTCAGGGTGACGAAAAGTGAAAACGGGGATGATCTGATGTTGAGTTGTGGTAACGAATACTCTGAACCGATCAATGCTTACGTGCTTCCGGACTCTCGTATCGCCAAATTATGTTCGACCAGGTAAATACTTCAATATTAGTGTTAACTATTATTATTTTTTCAAAATTCTTACAATTCTTAAGTAAACTCAATATGAAAAAAAATATGGTGTTTATAAATGTTATCGGAAAAAACACACCGCATTGTTATTATGTGTAGTGTAGTATGAATTAAAATTAACTGTAAACACGCCGTTTATACGTTAAATGTATAATAAGTTCGGGTGTTTCACTATAATAATTGTATTTGAACACGAATGAAAATATTTGTGTTTACCATTAAGTATATTTGGCAATAACGCCCTAGCGATTGTTTTACAAAAATATTTCTTAAATTGTGTAAATCTAAATATCGTTGACTCTAAATTAGGCTGTGTAAAGTAATCACTTACTATGTTATACTGTTTGAAATTTAGTGTAGTGTTATAAAACAATGGGTGTTTAGTTATTTTAAAGTAATTAATAAATACGTTGTTTGTAATTTATGATATACATTTGATATTCATATCCTTTGTCTTTCTAAATATTTTTGTTCAGAAAATATTGTTTATAGTTTATACTAATCGATAGTCTTATATTATTGTTGTTAATATACATATAGTCAATAGACATTTAAATGAAGCTCAACTGCTTAAACATATTAAACATAATACTATTTAATATTATGCAATTTCTGTATTCATACAATTATTATAATATCTAATATACGATGATCCGCGTTATTTGGATTTTTTGAAAATCATGGTAAATCTCACTTATACACAATCATTTGTGTACGACTACGTATATTTTTAGTATATATTATATATTATATAATATCATATACTACGAGGGGTGAAAACTTTATATAGCTCGTACACGTTTGTGTGACTTGCTCGATCCATTACCACGATTTGTTTGTCATGATGCACTGCTATAATATGTAGATGATGTATTTTATTTTATTGCATTATTATTATATATTAATGATACTGGTTTGGTCAATAGTATAATGTGTACATTATGATATGATGGATATGTTATTTCCATACATATTATAAGAATGCTGAATGATACTGTTTGGGGTTGAATTTAAACTCTAACACTATTATACAGAATACACAGGTAGTGATTTAATGTGTACCTATATAGTATATATCCTCCTATACATAGACGGTTTTCATTATTCCACTCATGTTCAGTACAAACGACTACATCTAGTGATATAATAATTTTAAGTAATTTTTTTAAAATTTGTAAAAATATTGAATTGTTTATTCAAAACGGTTTATGAATTATTTAAATTGAAATGATGTATAACCCGTCTCTGGTCGAATTGCTCCTTCACATATTTTAATAATATAATAGTATGTGCAAGCTGTATATGAAATAAAATTGCACATTTTAAAAACCATAATGTATTTGCTGTGAATTTTCATTTTCATCAAACTATTTTAATCGTATGATTATCATATGACACGTACACATAGAAATAATGTACTTATTTGATCACGTGCACCGGACATGGTGTATGTCACGGCCTCGCAGACTCCAGGATTATGTATATTTATAAAATTATTCGTCGTGTGCCTGTAGGACAATAATATTTCAATACAGTAGGTTATGCAATATCAGTGTTTGGCACGCTCTTTAGGAATAATCCGGACTGTTCCTCGTTCTTATTAAAATAAAGAATTCATTCTTTTCCTTGTTTTAAAAAAAAAAGGAATTTATTCCTGTATCGTTTCTTTAAAAAATTAACGAGTTCCTTTTTTATTTCAAATAGAACAAAATAATAGGTAAATATAATTTATGTAAATTCTTTAAGATTTTGTAAGGCCTTAACAATTTACATTCAATCTAGTCGTCCATAATAATTTAACACGTTATACCATTAAGCTGAAATGTATTCACAAATGGTACTCCCAAGTTCAAACCACTATCACAAATGATTTTATTGTTCAATGTTCATGCTATCATCGACTCTATGACAACGATTTCCACATTTGAATAAGATATATTAATATAGTGACTATATAAGTCTTAACGATTAACATCGATTCTTGATAATGATGAGTATGATATACTAAGAAAAAAAAATATTTTCATTTCAATAATTTATATAATATCTGTGTAAATTAAAACTCGAAAGAAACGGAAAATATTGTTCTATTTCCAAACGAAATCAGTTTTCTTTGGGACTCGTTCCTTCCTAAGCCTAATACTGTAGAATGTAGTATTATGTACACTCGCGAGTGGTAGGGTTTATTGTGTAGCAGCTGTTGGGTTGAGACTGTGTTACGCGGCCCCGTGGAAGTGAAAATGGTATCGGGAGGGATACGACTGCGGGCGACCTTGAAACGTAAATTTTGTTTACGCCTCACAGACAGGGCTGACCTTTGGTTCAGATCGTGTGTAGTGCGCGCGGGGTTAAAGCCGAAGCGGACATAACTTTTATCGATCGGGTGGCCCGGCGGCGGCGGCGGCGGCGGCGGCGGCGTGAGTTTTCGACCATTACCTCTGATAATAATAATAATAATAATAATAATAATAATTATACATTGCCATCGGGGATTTTTTTATTTATTTAATAATATTATAGAGGCATGCATACACTCCACAACGCTTTTATGTAACATTATGATATGTATATACATACATTATAATCGTCATATATTATTATGTCGTCATTATAATATACATTTATACACGAACTGAAAATAAAAAACGACGACGAAGACGACTCGGTGTGGGTTTTCGATTGATAATAATTAAATTACATACGTGTTTGTAAACGCCGCGTGGCTATTATCGTGTAATAATTCACGCAAATCTCTCCAGTCCGCATGTTTTTTTTGTTTTCAACAATATACATTCTGCAGTTGGAAGACGTGGGAGGCCACATGTATATAGAACACGATAAACCTTTCGACATCCCGACGTGTACGTTTCACTTTTTTAAAATGCAAGATAAATTAATGTATGTAGACTAATATTATACACTTTTGGTTCTTACAGTCATTATTTTATTACGAACATTCTTGAAAATTCGCGTATTGATTTCACGTCGGAAAAATCTTACTCTCCTATATTGCTTTATTCGTTTTGTAATTTATACAATACCTCAGTGCCTGAATTAATAGTTATTATAAATAAACTCGACATATTTTTCATTAAAAATTAATTTTAAACGTTGCATAAGAATAAAAATTCAAAATTATTATTATAAAACATCATCATTGTTTATATTTCATAAGCTACATCTAACGAAATAAGTGAACAAATTAAGTATTATTTGGATATGGACATTTTCCTGTAGAAATTAGTATTGTCCTATTCAAAACGCCCTTAAAATAGTTCTAAACTCACTTACTAAACTTTAATTGAAAATTAAAAAAAAAACAATTTTGGTATGGTCACATCAAACTTTAAACTTTTATTATGTGGTCAATATTTAGGTAGTAGGTTATTTTATTTTTAATTGGTCAACGAAAAATATCAATATTTCTTATGAAAGTTTAAATGTACAATTTTTATTTTATTATGTTTGTGATGCAAAACATTAATTTTATTTTAAATATCTAGCATTTATTTGTTTTTGATAGTTTCTTTGTGATCCAGGTAATTTAATTGTTTTTTGCATTACCTAATATGTATTTATAAGGCTACATCAGTTGTGTTTAAATTGTATTTACTCGTATTATTATTTATTTTACGTTCATAGGTTTGTTCAATTCCGGAGTCGAACAATATTGCTCTTAATTATTTTGATGGGATAAAACAAACAGGATATTAAAATTGTATATGTTGTTTCATTAATTCTATTTGAAATACATATTGTTCTTGAGTAAATATAAGTTATACGTTAAGCCCGTTAAGGTGTATTAATGTATTACACTAGTCACTATAATATATATTATATTTATATATTATATAAATGATGCTATAATTAGTATTTAAATATATACAAACTGTACCTAAATGTATTTAAACGTAGGTGCATTTCGTAGAAAATTATAATCATATTAATTATACAACTCTAAACCGATTAGGCCACAAGTAACATATTACCTATATTAAATTCACGTTATTACATTATTATTTACGGCCAACTTTGCAATGACACTCAATCGTATATTATACAACATAACATAGGTAGGTACAACCGGGTATAATATTATATCGTATGCGATGAAAGTTATTCATTTTTTCGCGCGAGGACAATACGATCTTATTTCTTGACATTCACGACTCGCGTAAAACATAGGTAGTAGGTACCTTTCACTATTTTGTGGTTGTTAGCTGATGATAACATAATAATATTATACTGTGTAGAGTAATTTACCGACCAATAAAGGATTAGCTATTATCGATTGTGCACAATATAGGAAATAAGAAAACTCGTTGCACAAAATAAATTGTCGTGTTATAATTGGCCACTCGAATCTTAATGTTAATCCGGGGAAAAAAGTATTAACTGGTATATGCCAACTTGTTACCTTCGCAAAAAAAGTAATATTAATAGATATATACCTAATTATCGTGTATAAATTATATTATAAAATTCCTTTTTATAAAGATACCCACGTAGACGACACGTAGACAACAACTTAGCAATTTCTCGATCTTATAAACTGAATAATATCCACCTAGGTTACTGGTTAGTGTGTACTCTTGTATAGGTACTGACGACCGAAGGTTAAAACGTGAAATATGAGCATTGATATGAGAATGTCTATTTCATTAATATCATGACGTGATATGAAATAGGTAACGACGATATTTTAATAATATAGTAATTGTAACGTGCATCATAACCATATGTCAATATGACATTTATTATATTATTATAAAATAGACAATAATTTTTTATTATTATATAATAATGTTATTCTAGCATTTGGTGAGTACAACAATTGTACATAGATATTGAAAACAACTTGTTTGTTTGGTAAGATGATATCGCTGTAACCATATCGACTACTTATCCGCTATCGTGTATTTTGTGAGAAAATTATGTAAATATACACTGTTAATAAAAATAGAATAACTTATTTTATCTTGGAATCATTGAGATATTATAAAATAAGGTACCTTATAATTTTAAACCTCATTTTTGTTTGATACTTGTTTCCATAATATTATACAATAGATGGTACTCCAATAGCATTCTCACTACATTTTATCTTTAAATACTACATTCGAACTATAGGTACATTGTTTAGCATATTCAAATACCTACCATATGATTAGATACTTGGATTATAACAAAATTATTACACTTCAGAATCATCACATAGGTGATACAGTTTTCTTTTTTTTCAAATATGAACCACCATTTTTCACTGTAAATTGTAGATGGTTTTTTTAAATATTAATAACACTAAAACGATAAGTATCTGAGTTGTTAAAACACTCTGTACTACTAATATTGTACTAAGGATAATAATCTTCAATACTGGGTTTACATATATTGTAAAATATGTATGAAATATTAAGTCTTGTATTCATTACATACACATTACACTGACAATTTTTATGAATTCTAAAATAGGTACAAATATATTAATACTAATTTTTAGGCAATACTATAAAACATTTTCAAACCATCGTAGTTCCCATATTGTCAAACCTATTAACTAAAATATATTAAGTTACTTAATTTAGTACATAAATATATAATAATGTATTATTAATTTGTTTTAAAAAAAACAATGTGCTTTTAAAATCCTTACTACCTATATTATTCGTTATTACTGTTAAGACTTAGAAAGACAATACAAATAATATGTTTATAATTCATCAAACCTTAATTTATTTTTAATCAATTATAGTCATAACTAGTTATTATATATTTTTATGTATAGTATAATAATATATATTTTAGTTATCTTTTATTTTATCTAAAATATTATTAATTATTGAGTATTATATGAGTAACCTATATAATCTAGTTTCACTTTGAAATTACTATTTGAATTTGTAGCTTGTTGCAGTGATTATTTTTATTGAAATTTATCTTAGAGAAATATTTTGTTGTGCTTATTTGTAAATATTTACTTATTGAAAAGTCTGTAACTATAGTGATATATGTAATATTTTGTTTTTTAGACAAATGTTTCCGGTGTGTGATAACAACTCACATTATTCAGTAACATACGAAACACTAAAGCCGGTGTTAGTGCCGTCGGATACGGCATCTGTAGGATATGGAAAACTGGAAACTGTGCCGCCACCTATTGGTGGAGCTTCGGGAAAAATGGCGTCCATCAACGGAGGAAATACAACTACCCCTAATATTTGTATCGAGGGTGGTCGCATAGAATTTGTGAAGTCTCCAATAGATTGCGGTGATGAAAAACAAGACTACTTGAAGGTAATATTGATAGAGAGCGCTAAAGTGATTATTATTTTTTAAAATAGAAACTTTTTTGATGGCTTCGAATACTTTGAGCAATTAATAATATTATTATTCAGTAGGTATAATACAATGTATAATTATTATTCGTGTTCAGTTATTTTGTTAATTTTCATAAATAAAATTCAACACCATGAGTAATAATTATTGATTAAATAATGTATAATAATGTATATTGTTTAGAAAATATTCTATGAAAAATATAAACGTTATTAGTGGTCTTAAATTAAAAATTAACAAAAAACACGTAATATATACTTTCTACCTACTTTTAATAGACAAACATGTACGTGTATATAATCTACTGTATTGTTATTGGTAGTTTGTTCTATGGCATAGTCAAAGTATGACATGTATTTGTCTGAAATCCAATTATGAAAAATGGACAAAAAAAATTTTTTACAATACATTAAATAATATTGAAATAAAATAATAAATGACATTATATAATATTGTGATAATCATAGGTAAAAAATAATCCAAATAACAATAAGATATTCTAGCCTTTAGGAGCTGAGAAACTTGTACGTACCTATATTATATAGATGTGTATAAGACAATGTCAATATTATACAATATTTTTATACATTGAAAAACCAGCTGTTTATGAACACCCCTAAATAGCGAACAGCCTTTAATTCCCCTGCCGTATCATCTATGTATTATAGAGATTTCACTTCACTTTTTTTATTATATCGATACACATATCAAATTAAATTTAATGAGGAAAATTATAAGTCGACCTCTTAACATTTGTTTTCTGTTTTCATTTTAATTGTTGTTAATATCGTTTTGCCTTTTGGCTCCTGCAGTGAGTTTAATATAATATGAAGTATTTGTGAAGCGGCTTATGATTATATATTGTAATCCAGATCAACAGTAATGGGTTATTAGTTTAAGCCCTTCCCTAGCTTAGGTGAAGGATTACACACTTTGGCATAATGAAAATTATAACCCCAAGAGAAATCTACTCTTTAGCTTTCTTATAGTGAAATGTCGGCGCAACAGCTAGGCAATTTAAATGCGTCAGTGCTTAAATATTTTTAACTTCGTATTTATGATAAACATTAATTAATATTATGTTATTAATTGCAATTTCAAAATTTGTTTACAAAAATGTGCACATTTTTTAGATTTAGGTGATATTATTTATATTTATTCCCTAATGGCTAATACCAGATATAAAACCAATACTCAGTAGCTTTTTTTAATGATTGTACCTATATTAGTCTGCGTAAATATATATATTGCATTTCATCTTATTAGGATACTAGGTTAATATTATTATATTTATATTTGTATTTATTATTGCGGTCCGATTTTATAAACTTCAGTAGTATTACCAATATTATTTTGGTTATTACGATTTACGAATGACGGTCAAATGATTCTGTGATAGGGAGGCGTGGGGTATGGCTGATTTTTTTACATACACTATTTACCTTTAAAAATATAACTTATGGTTATCAAACCTTAAACATTGAAAAAAAGGTCACTTGGGGATCAGTTTATTTGATCAAACTTGGCTAAGATTCGTCTGATACCTATTTAATCGATGAGTGTATTTTATATACAAGTAGAAATTCGTATCGTTTTGCTTTGCTCTAGTGAAAAAACTGATTTTGCACAATAACGTCTATAAATTGGAACAGAGGAGAATCATGGCTTTTGGATTTTTTTGTTACTTATATGGTCGTTATATAGTATCTCATATAAGTATTATAATAATATTTATAGAAGCCGGTTAGGTGGATGACGTCACATATATTATTATCTTGCTGTGTTATTCTGTGACATTTTGAAGGAATATAGTATCGAAGCTTTCAAAAATGAAGGTCTGATTTTTTTCTTCTTATATAAGTGAACCTTTTTGTTGAAAATATAAAAGTCTATGTCCATTATTCTCACGAAATACTGTTTATTAAATTGGAACGTGCTGTGAACAGTATATAGCGGTCAATATAAAATTGAAAAGACCTCCGGGAAATATTGAATTAGAAACAAACTCTGATGATGAACTTCCTAGAATTTCAACGTTATATAGGTTTATACCATGAAAACAATATTGTTTCAACAACATATACAAATATTGAGAAATTCCCAAATATTTGTATACTCACAGGTTTGTTCATTGTGGTGTATGTAACATTTGGAAATATAAATATTATTTGTAAAAACTAAATAGATGTGCAAAGAAACAAAAGTTTTAAAAAGAAGATATTTTTCGCACATTTATTGGAGTGGTTCGCCGCTAGACGATTGTGCGTTAAATATCCGTAAATATTAAACACTTCATAAATCATTATATTTAGTCATTAAGGTATATTATACATATCTAAAATATATTTTATTTTATAAATCATCCTAACTTCAAGCGTACATTTTAAATTATCTTATGATGAAAATTACAATTTTTTGATTGGAAATTTATTCGATAAATATTTGAAGTTCAATTTTTGAAACGATTCCCCAAAATCAATTTATAAAACTATCAATATTTATAGCAAAGGGTTGAAAATTCAATACAAGGTGCTCATAAATATTCACACTTAAACCAAACAATTAAATTAATTAATTAACATAGCTATTTTTATATACATTTTAATTTCAAATTTGAACGAAATTAGATAATATATTTAAGCGAATAAGATTATTTCAGTTATTTTGTTGTAATTTCAAAATATTATTGGTAGATTAAAACATTTAATGTACATCGTTACAATTAATAGATACAATGGCATTTACAAATACAATAATTTCGACAAAAGATAATTCAGCCTACCGTATCATCTTTGATTATAAATATTAGTTTTTATAGTCAATAATATTACTAATAATAAAATACATTTTTTTTAATACCAGTATAAATTAAAAATATATACTTAGTAGGTAATAGGCCTGATCGACGGTCTTTGCTCAGAATCGTTTTTCGTATGCAATAATTATCAATGAATGAAAATTTTAAATTACATTATACATTACACTATTACAGTGACTTACTCAATGACTCGACACCTTCTGTACAAAAGATCGGTTATCTTCTTCACCCCTTCTTAAAATATATTTTTTTTACTTACTTCCATTTAGTATTTATGATATTTATTATAATTGTGATTTTGCCCGGTCTAAATATATATTCATCATCTTCAGAAGAGTATTTCATTTGAATTTGAATTTGATTTAGTCTTCAAAAAGTATTTCCAAGACAGAACGAAGAATATGATTGAAAAGACAAAGCACGTAAGGATCATATAATTTAACAGCCGCTTGGAGAATTCGGAAATGACAAACTTATTTTTTCAGAATACGTAAAATAAAAATAACTTTATATTTTTTTTGGTTTTTGGTCAGATTGGATAATTTATGAGAATACCACAATATTATTTTTATTATTATTTTTTTTTATATTTAGGTACATAAAATAATCATAATATAAAAGTACTTATATTGATAAATAATATAAATCATACAAAATATAAAACCAAGTGTACATGGTTTAAACTTAAAGACTATAATAAAATATTTACTTTTTTTTAGGCGGTATGTTACATTAATTAATTACAGTTGTTTTAGGTATAAAAGTAACTTAAAAAAAAAACATCTTCTCACTGTCGTTGTACCATAACATTTCATTAGAAATAATTGTTTAATAAGTCTTTAAGACATTGATAGTTATAATAATATAATAATATTATAGTATGAATTAAAACGAAATACTATTGCTTTCACATCACCTCATGTACTGCGAGTGTTTTAATTAAGACGCGGCCTATTAAGTATTATCGTTTTATCTATTATCTGATGCTTTAATATATTTCAAAGCTTTCTCATTTATTTCAACTAAGCTCGTCAATTAACTATATGGGCGTTCTTCTATAATAGTAATATAGTATGACTACGTCTCACTATACTACTTGGACTAGTTGAACTGGAAAACGTGATGTGTGATTTAAAATTAATTATATAATTAAATATAAATCGGCTTAATCAGAATTGCAGTTACAAAGATAACGATATTATATTTTGATAAAATCTTCTAGTAATGCGAAATTTTATGTTATTTGAAAGTTTATATATATGTTTAATGCATACCTATTTTGATTGTATAATGTATACATATACTATGTAATCGCGATGATCCGGTTAAATTGTATATACGTTATACTTGTATAATATTATAATGAATTATTACTTCAAGGTTGTGCACAAAAACATGATCGGCTGTCATCTGCCATCAATACAATATTTGTAGTAACATTTATTTCTCAATACATATTATATTTTGTACTGCCTCATAATTAACTAATGAAGTAATCAACATTTGTTTGCTCAGTGACTTTAAAACACACCTATATTTTCATTGAATTTTATTTTTCAAAAAAAAAAAAAAAAATAGTGTATTACTCGTGTATACTAGATATAATTTGAAAGCAGTTAAAAATTTGCTAAAGATTTAACGTGATTAGAATTTAAGTTTATTCATTTTTATTAATTTATATTTATTTATACTGAGGTCTGTGAAAGCCCATACGATTGAATCAAAGTTAGTAAGGAGGTAGTAAACCACTTATATATGACGGATTTGTTTTAAGCGATGTTACCTAGTAATTTTAAAATATAAATTGAAAATCGATGGACATTAATGTGTGTTTTAAAGTTTTTACTCGGTTTCGTCTTATTCAAATTATACGATTTTTATATTATTTACATATTTTATAAAAATCATCTACGAAGTCTTAGGACTTTTGGAAATTCAGATAATCCATTATAGTATAACAGGATTTCCACTACGTTGTATGCTTTTTAAAAATTGATCACGTAATTTATACTGTAGGTATATGTATATATGATAAAGTATTTTTTTATAAATATATATTTATGCAGTCATATAATGTGTACTATATGTTTTTAGTTACAAAAAATCAATTAGCCATGTTTTCCTCCCTTCGGGACTTTTC